CCGTGGAGTGAAGTAGAAACTATTCTACTATCAAGCATATTGCGGACCCAACCCGCTATAGTTGCTTCTATCAACTAAGTTGTGTAGAGCCAATTCTGCTGATTTTCCCGCTTGATAAGCATACTGGTGGCGACTTAGTGGCGTTCCAGAACTTTTTCAAGACTTTTCAACAGAAATGACCCTTACCTTAGTCCATTCTGCCGGTACATATTTCCAGGCGACACTCACTCTGAAAATTGTTACCAAAATTGGCAACAACAGTGACCTTCCTTGTTGTAACAAAGCAGGAAACGACTTTTTAGCCACACTCCAATCCGTATTTGAGGGGCACTTTTGCCTTGCAGAAATAGCTCGCTGTGGCATTGTCAGCCCTCATCATCAAGCTTCCTTGGAAGTGAGTCTGCATGAGAAGCTCTAACGAGTCTCTGCTAGACTCCATAAAACTACCGTCAGGCCGCTTAAGTGAGCCGAGGGGTAGTGCCGGATCTTTAGCGAGAATCTTGTGAATTCTTGCACTACTGGGTGTGTCTTTCACCCCCTCATAGAACCTCCTCCAAGACTCTCTTTTTGCTTTACGTATGTTTTTGGTGTAATTCGTTAGAGCTTGTTTATATTTCTCCCATTCACCTAATGTCTTGGCCCGGTTAAAAAGCCTCCGGACCTCTTGTCTTTCGGAGCTAAGAGATTCGTTCCACCAAGGTGTGCCTCGATTATTACTTTTCACCTTCAGTGGACTTCTACTGTGATAGGCAGAGCGAATTGCTACAAAGATCTGCTCGGTGGCTATTTCAATCTGATCACAGTTCCTAACGGTTGCGATGACACTAGTTAGGTTATCTGCAAGGCAACTCTTAAACAGATCCCAATTAGTGCTACGATTTCATCCCTAGGTCAATTTTAAATTGAATATGTCTATGATCTGGACTGGACAATTAGAACTAACTCTTTACCTAGAACTAGAAACATTCGGGTTTAGCCACACGTCTCTAAAGATGGCTAATCCCGAATGTTTCTAGTTCTAGATCCAGTGTTAGTTCCCATATTAATATGTTACGTCGATATTTTACTGTATTTAAAAAAAATTACTTCAATTCAAAAAAATTTGTGTTGAATACTTGTACGTGATCGCAAAACTAAATCGGTTAAGTTCGATAAGTAATTGGTATTCCGGTCGGGGATTCTCGTTTAAATCGCTATTAAATTTTCGAAAAGTGAAAGCCATTGTGGCGTGAACATAATTACAAATAAGTCACGGTTCGGGGCTTTCGATAATAAACAACAACGTGGTTTACAAAGAAATATTAATTTTTTCTATTATAAAGTATTAATGAAATGATTATGGGTTTTGGGATGAGAAGTTGATAATAAATCAGTAAGAGAATTTCGAACCACACAGCACACGACCGTTTTATTAATTGTTAATGTCAGTTTCTGGACCACATACTGCATTAAATTTTCATTATCCAACCCAGCTAATTGCATTCCGCGACGGCCACAGACTACAAATTTCCGAATTTTGCGTTCATGAAAAATCGACTCCAAACATGTCGATCGTTAATAAATTCGACGTAGCTTTTCGTTAATTTGCACACGGAGATCAAAAGCCGAACGAAAATCCTATTATACGAACTAGTTAATAACTTGTTTCATAAAAATAAATGTGTAGGCGAAAAAAATATAATTTTTATAAACATCATGTTGTGAATAAGTGATTTTCTCGTAGTGAATTTAATGGAATTCGGTTCTAGTTGGTAGAGTTGACACGTGCAAATCGGTTGTGCCCAACGCAGGTAATTGGCGTGAACTGGACATTCAGCGGTTGGCAGACGTGTTGGCACTTCCGGTTCACATCCGTCCGGAAACCGAGAGCCGGGCGCGAATTTGTAATCGAGGATTACCGTGTTAATGTCGACGTTTTGGACAATCTGACCGAATTTGAATCATTTCCGGCACTAGATTAAAACGGTAACATGAACTTCGTCTAGAAATAACATCTAAGCAATTCAATTATTTTTATTAGTAATATTTCTTCTTCAAAATTTTATTAGCGTACATAAAATTTATTAATTTGATAAGACAAAATCTCAAACAGTACTATTTAGTAACAGTATTTAGTGTTTTATCAGCAGTATTTAGACTTCAGCGATCAGTACCGAGCAGTAACAAGTCTTGCCGGCAGTATCTAGATTCTGCAAGTTGTATCTGGTCCTTTTTACAGGTTTACCAGTACGTAATGATCGATTGCCTCCCGATTTATCGAATGGCTGATATTGATGGAAAGGTTGACTACTTCAACTCTAAACTTATCAATCTCTATGACAAGCATGCCCCACTCAGGTGACGCAGGGTGAGATATCCGCCCGCACTCTGGTTAAGTGATGAAATAAGATCATTGATGAGAGAACGTAACCGTGCAAAACTATTATTTAAACGTATTCCAACTACCAATGTAAGAATGCCAAAAAAATTTGGCATTCCAATTCTAGTCCGAGGACGTTTTGGAGGATTCCTTAGGGGCGGTTGAGTCTCCCTCTGTTCGGGCTGCTCTCGATGGGAATTCATTGGCGAGGTTTTTTGCTAACCCACCTCTGCTCATTAGTGGTGAGACTAAGATGACTACTATTACTGAAATTCTTGCCTCATCTAAATCCTCCTCTTTCTCGTTTGTTCTGGTCACAGCATCAGAAATCAGCGATGCCTAGTGTGGGAGCAGACGGAGTTAGTCTCAAACTTCTTCTTCCTATATTGGATAGTGTTCTTATTCCTATTACTCACATTTTTAACTTCTCCATTGAACGCTCCTCATTTCCTTCAATCTAGAAGGTTACTCATGTTGTCCCTATACCTAAATCGAAGAGTCCATTTTATCTGTTCTATCCAAAGCTTTCGAGCGCCTTGTTTACTTACAAGTTTAAGAATATTTACAAGAATTTAATTTGCACAACCAGTTTCAATGGGGTATGCATGCGACAAACGTTGTGTTACCATTCTTGTACTACTTGATTTCGAGCTTTCACGAGCTCTTGTTGGCGTCACTGGCTGCCCTTTGATTTACCTCTTCATGTTTATCTTGGTTTTAATCTTACCTTTCCTGTCGTTTCTTGTGTGTGCGTGCTGATTCTGCGCTCTCATCTGCTTGTGATATTAAATGTGGTGTACCCCAGAATAGTGTGTTGGGTCCGTTGCTCTTTTCAATTTTTATTAATGCCGTCACCCATTGCATTTCTTGTAATTATCATGTGTATGCTGATGACCTCCAAATTTACACTACGACAACTATTGATGATTTTCCAGAAGCAATTGCACGTCTTAACCATGATCTTTCTAATATTTTGGATTGGTCTAAACGTTATGGCCTTGAATTAAACACTGCTAAAACTCAAGCAATTGCGTTTGGTAGTCGACCTTTACTGGCAAAGCTTACAATTAGTGATTTTTCACCCATTCGCTTAATGCTTGACGATGACACTATTCAGCTGTCAGATATGGTTGGAAACCTTGGAGTGGTTATGGTGTATTGACCCCATTTGGGTCTCCAGGTAGTTAGGGTATATATATTTATTTCTGGCAATATTTAAGCACTTTTAGTTTAAGAATACTAATTTATTTTAGTTATTACATGTCTATTGTGTTCGTTAAAACTATGTGGCTACGAATGCTTTTCGCTTGGAATTATTGACTACTTATGTATTTCATTTGTGCCAACAATTCTATTGCTCAGCGTTATTGTAACCACGCGCCGATGGCCAAAGTGTAACTTAACACTTCCAATGGCGAGGTTCATTGGACTTTACTTGAACTCGATAATTTAATAAAACTGTTTAATTGGCAACTTATATAATAACAATAATTTATGTAACTTTGAATATTAAAATATGTCCATCACAATGGATTCCAAAATGTCCTGGAAACCACAAATTCAATCCGTCTCCAGAAAGGTCTATCATTATTTCCACTAGCTAAAAAGTTTCCGTTGCTTCCTTCCTCCCATGGTCCGTCGTAATCTTTGTTATTCTCTAATTTTCCCCTATATAGATTATTCTGACACGGCATATCCTGATCTTTCGGTAACACTCCGAAACAAACTGCAAAGACTTAAAAACAATAGTATACGATATATCTTTGATCTCGTGAGATCTGAACACATAACTCCATACCGTAATTATTTACAGATATTAAGCTGTCAGAAGCGTGGATCGTTTCGTATATTGACTATGTTATATACTGTTCTTCACAACGAAACACCAGGATTGTCGTCGCATGATTTACCCACTAGATCTCAGTTAGATTCTCTGCTTATGTTCCCGATACATAGTACTTAGATTTACCACAAATCGTTTACTGTGCAGGCCATAACCTTTTGGAATAGTCTGCCTACTGAGATTCGCAATATTCCTCACTTTATGACATTTAAAAGCCATCTAAAACGTCATCCATTTGCTCTCCAAGTATCTTCCTGAGAACTTCTTCCTTTTTTTCTCTTCTTCTTCTTTTACTTCTCTTCTTCTTTTATTCTAGCAACTAACATTATGCACCGGTTTAGTAATCATAGGTTTAACGTAACAGCTTCCCATTTATTTATTGTTTTTTTTATATATTTTATTATTTATACGGCTGACTGATTGGGTCCTTTGGAAAATATCGCGATAAATCGATCCTTTTGCCTATATTTATACATTAAGTAGTTAAATGTATATGTTACCGGCAACATCCGTTACGCCGGCACACCTAAGATTGACTAGGCAATTCGAACATTGCCCGAACATTTTTGACCAAGTCCGAAATAACTTTGAATTTTGGGGTTTGCCTAGTATGCAAGTAAGCAAACTTAGGTGTGTCAAATGATTCTCAGGCAAAGTCCGAAAAGTATAAATTAACTTCGGACTTTGCCTAAAGTGGGTCGGCAAACTCTGGTTTCACGTGCTTTGCAAGTTTCAATTTGTCGACGGTCAGTCATTCGCTTACTGCGGTTGAGTGTACTTCGAGCTAAAAGTTTCAAAATGAGAAGTGCAATAAATGTAACCGATTGTGTGCCTTTTAAAAACCAAAACGCCGAAACAGAATTCAAATCTAAATTTATGGAAAATATTGAAGAAGTAGTAGCTGCAAGGAAAGCAAGTAATAAATCTACGTTACAATATCGTCGCCTTAAACGTTACGATCAGCTACGTTTAAGTGATAAAAAAAAGTTAATACTTCCGGTTTCTGATCAAATTGCTGACGTAAAATCTTTTGTTACAAATGACGATCTTTTTGATGTAATTCACAACGCTCATCGTGAATGTGGGCACGGTGGAAGAGATAGAATGATAAAAGCGCTAGGCAATAAATATGTCAAATTTAATCAAATGTCAAAAATTTGTCAAGTATGCCAGGAAAAAAGGAACCAACCTAAAAAAGGATTAAGGTTATTTAAAGAACTGGATTCCCGAGGTCAGGTCGATCTCATAAATATGTAGACTTGTCATGATGGTGATTTCCGATATATTTTTAACTACCAGGATCATCTAAGTTCATAATTTTACATCCATTAAAGACGAAGATAGCAGAGGAAGTGGCTCACACATTATTGGATGTTTTTTGTACTTTGGAAACTCCCAGCGTGTTGCAGTCAGACAACGGACGAGAGTTTGCTAATCGGGTAGTTGAAGAGATAAGGGAAGTGTGGCCCGAGCTAGCAATAGTCCATGGCAAGACACTCGCAAAGTCATGGGAGTGTGGAGAGATCTAACCGCGACGTAGAAGATATGTTATTTGCGTGGATGGAAGACAATAAGATTAAGCATTGGAGCGAAGGTCTTCGTTTTTGTCAGCTTCAGAAAAACAATGCATACCATAGCGGAATACAACAAACACCTTTTGAAGCGATGTTCGGTAAGCAGTTTCTATTTCATTGGAGGAAGAACCGCTCATATATGAATACAATCATTGCCTGATTCTATCAAAAAAGTTCTTAGAACTGAAGAAGATCTTGAAAAGGCACTTGTAACTACTGTGGAGCAGGAGAATTCCACTTGTGGTCCTAATGCAGAAAGTCTTGGAGAATCAACTCCGTTTCCTGATGCAGGAAATACTAAAGGATCAATTCCGTTTCCTGATGCAGAAAATACTAAAGGAACAACTCCTGCCCTTGATGTTGATAATGCAAGCTTTTATGCCTGTTGATGAACGTGAAGTATTTATAATAATTAATAACATTAAAACTGCAGCGGTGGGTTCTGATGGTACCTCAATCTGGATGATTGACTTGTGTACCCCTTTTCTCATTCCTTATATTACTCACGTAATAAACGCTGCTATTCATCAATCAGTTTTTCCGGATGCCTGGAAGATGGCTGAAGTAATTGCGTTAGCTAAAGTATCTTCCCCTTCTGCCCTAAGGGATTTTAGACCGATCAGTATCCTACCAGTAATGTCAAAAATTTTAGAGAGAGTCTTGGAAAAGCAACTTAGAGCACACTGCGAAAGGTATAGTATACTGCCAGATCAACAATCTGGGTGTCGTTCGGGTTTCAGCTGCGCAACAGCTTTATTGAACCTTACTGATGATGTATTTGCTTCTAGAGAGGCCGGGCAAGCCGCACTTTTGTTATCGTTGGACTTCACCAAAGCATTTGATACAATAAATCATAATATACTTGCATCTAAACTTAATTATTTTGGTCTTGGAAATCAAGCTGCAATTTTGATAAAGTCTTTTTTGTCGGACAGGTCTCAGGTTGTGAAGATTAATGGTCAAGTGTCGAGCGCTCTGTCTGTTACTCGTGGAGTCCCTCAGGGGTCCATTTTGGGGCCACTATTGTTCTCTATTTATACATCTGATTTTAACCAGGTTCTTGGGCATTCGCAGATTCATTTGTATGCAGACGATACACAGCTTCTGCTGAATTTCAATCCAAATAATTGGGTTGATGCCTGCATAAAATTTAACTCAGATATAGCATTATTTTCTGATGTTGCGAAACGCCATGAACTTGTGCTAAATCCATTTAAGTCTTCTGTTCTTCTGTTTTGCGGTAGTGTCACAAGGAGAGCGATTAAGCCTTTGATATCCGGTCAATTGGTGGTGGATGGCGAACCTCTTACTGTTTCTGATGATATAAAAATTTTAGGAGTCACATTGGATCATCAGTTGAAGTTTGAGGAGCATGTGGCCAGGTGCTTAAGGGGTGGGTATGGCGCCCTGCGTCTCTTGTATGCCCATAGGGATGTCTTAAGTAAAAAATTAAAAATTATGCTGTGTGATAGCTTGGTTCTAAACAAATTAAATCACTGCGACGTTGTTTATGGTCCAAATTTAACGGAGGCGAGTGGGTGTTGTATCCAGAACCTCCAGAACGGTTGTCTGAGGTTTATTTACGGAATTCGTAAATATGACCATATTAATCATAAGTTGGCAGAGACTGGGTGGTTGAACATGAAGAACAGACGTAAACTGCATGCAACTTGCGTTTATTATAAAATTCTTTCAAGTCTTTAAAGTCTTTCAGAAGCGATGTCCATAACATTAATATAAGGAGGAAAGATCGCCTCGCACCGATCCTTTTCCTACCAGATAGCTAAAACGTACAATGATCTACCGATGAACCTTATAGGATTGAACTGTATTTCGTTCAAGAGTAAATTAAAATCCTCCCTCCTGCTAAAATCCTCCAAACTGACCTTCGTCCAGAAAATAAGTCTATTTTCTAAGAGTGTATTATTATTTTCTTTCCTTTTTTTTTGCGACTTATTAATAAAGGCATTATTATTATTATTATATGGCAAAATTGGAACCTGTTTGTTGCATATGCGAAAAAGAAACTTCAGGAGTCCACAAGTGTTATAGCTCTGCGCAAAATGTTGATGTCACCTGTGCCCAGAGTACAAGTAATACCAACGAGGGTTACGAACTATCAGTTTTATGTCTTCGGTTTGCAATAAGAAAAACGATGACTTCAAATCAAGAGAAAGCTGTCGAAGGATTGAAAGAGCAGGCAGAGAAAATGAAGTTTACACCTAATAAAAAATTTCCCCCGATTGAGGTTGGAACACAACTTACTGTGTCTGTTCCAAGCCTTGGCAGGAGCAAAGGAAATGCGCGAAACTTAATTGGCGTAGTTTTGGAGACAACAAATGATAGACTCTATAAAATTGGAACCAAGAAACGAATTATTGCCTCGCTGTATTCGAGAAATCAAATTCAAGCGTGTAAAGACACAGTTTTGAAAATTCAAGACGTCCCAGAGATTGAATTCTCTCTGCGTCACATTAGTAGCCAAAACTCTGCCTTTCGGGACCAAGGGTTTTTGAAGTGCAATAAAAAATTTCAAACAAGTTTATGCAAATGTAAGAGGGCTAAAGTGTTTTGCAACTCGAAATGTCACCATTCAAACTCGTGTTCAAACAAGTAATAGTTTACACAGTTTCCCATATAATCTGATGTATTGTTATTTTTTGTATGTGTGTTGTTCGTTTTTTTTTTATTTACAAAAATAGAGTTGTATTGGGAAAATTCCAATTCCGTTATTTTTATTGTTAGTTAAGAAGCCAAGATTGCGCACTTTTCGGACTTTGCCTGAGCTTTATTTTGGTGATAGTTGACTCAATGTTCATCGTGGGTTGTAAGTGATAAATAAAAGCTCCTTGGGAACGATGAAAAATTATTTATTCTTAATATAAGATCAGTGCAACATGTTTCGAGATTCAAAATCTCTTCATCAGGCACGACGTCAATTACTTATGGAGCACAAAATTGAACATCTGACAACGTGGTGAAATTTTGTAGGTGATTGGACGAGACAAAAGGCGACTGAGGTGGACTGTCCACCAGTCCACCTCAAGTTTCTTCACGTCGCGGATGCACTCGTAAGAATAAAACTTTAAGAAGAAGAAAACAAATTTTATTCTGTACCCACTACATAAAAAAAATAAGAATAACAATAAAAATATCTATATGTATATAAACAAAAATAAAAAAGTAAGGGGTGAGAATAGGGCTACCGACCAAGGTCTTTCTGCCCGTGATTTATGTAGTCGGCGGCTTGTTTCAGTCTTCTCTGACGGCCAGGAGTTTTTGGAAGAGAAGAGGTGGGTTGTTGCGAGGGTGGAGTAATCGAGGCGTTATAAGCGTGTGTTGCAAGGCGTTGGTAGGAAAATTTAGAATGGATTTATCGGACAAAGATTGAAGACGGGTATGGATAGGGGGTATATCGGTAAGTTGGTATAGGAGATCATTGCTAGGGTTAAAGAGAGGATTACGGGGGTTCCTAATTCGGGTGATGGATCTCAGTGCAGATCTTTCCGCTACTTCCAGGTGGTACTTCGTTCTTCTTGGTGCGTTGCTTAGCAGTATTGATCCATATTCTATGATGGGCCTGCATATGGTCTTGTAAATGTGCGAGGCACATGAGGTAGAGATTCCGCGACCGCTGAACGAGAGAGATTTAAAGTGTTTGGCGCGTGTCTTTACTTTCATCTTCACCTTGGTTGCGTGAGTGGAAAACTTAAGCGTTCTGTCAAGTATTATGCCAAGATACTTACAGGTTGGTGAGACGGAGATTGCCGTTGATTGGATTGTAATTGTGGGAGAGGGAGCGCGGGATGAGAGGAATGGGACAAAAAATTGTGTTTTTGTGGGATTGAGTAGGATGCGCCATTTTCGGTACCAATTTTCCGTTTCGTTTATGAGCGTCTGCAGCTTACGGACCGAGGAAGTGATATCCCTACTGTGCGAGACCAATGCTGTGTCGTCGGCGTAAAGAAGTGCGTATGCAGTAAGGTTAAAGGCGTCTGGGTTGTCGTTGTAAAGATCGTGGCAGAATAGATTGTATAGAGCGGGAGAGATAGGCGAACCCTGAGGAAGGCCTTGCTGAGCGGAGAAGAAACACTGCTGCAGATTTCAGTTTTACAAAACGTGCCGCCTGGAAGTTGGAAACCAGAATAGTTAGTGGCTGGGACGTTAATTTGCCGGATTGGAAGCCAAATTGGTAAGGCGGAATTTTCTTTGATACCGCAGCCAAGAGCTTGTTCTTCAAGTGCGTCTCGAAGAGTTTTCCAATTACGGGGAGCAGTGAGATGGGGCGATAGTTGGCTGTATCAGATAGAGAGGAATCCTTCTTGGGAATACAAGTAATAATTGACGTCTGCCAGTCGCGCGGGAAATGTTGAGTCGTAAGGCAAAAGTTGATTATGTTTCTGATAAAGCCATGGATATTAAGATCTAGACTTCTAAGCAGTTTCCTTGTGATGTTATCATAGCCGGGAGCGGTATCTTTTCCCTGTCCAAGAAGAGTAAAATATTCGTCTTCCAACATGAGAGCATCTTCGGGTGTCTCGAACGGTGTCAAAAATGCGGATTCCTACCAATTATCTATAATGCTTTTGTTGTGGGAACAAAACGAAACATCCTCGGTAAAGGTGAATACACCTTCTAGGTAGTCAGCGTGTATGTTGACAATCTCTTCAGGGTTGGAGTGCA